AGATCTCATTTTCAATTCCGGAATGGTGTTTTTGTTCCATAGATATACAACGGTTTTTATTGTTTATTGATGTGACAATTATTGAGATAAAAGAGAGACTTTATTTCATATATTACCGCGACAATATCCGTTATAATCCTGAAAAAAATTAACATTGTAGCATTACTCCGGTAGATATAGAATAGCATGGGAATGTGCAAATCAAATTAATTATTTGGTTTGGGCATTGGCTTTGTTTGGATACATAGGAGAGAAAAGAAAAGAAATATGATAGTATTAGTTATGAGAGAAAATAAAATAAAAGAAAAGAAATGATAATAATAATATCTATTTATGTTTGAATATGATTGAGGGAAGAAAATAAGTGAAATGATAACAATAAAATTACCATCATATTATTTTAAATAGAAGGATATGTATAGAATAATAATTTTTTCTTTTTAATTGTTGAGGACAATTTCGAAATTATAAAAATATTGCTTAAGTACTATCATTTCCCTTCGTATCTTCTCACTTTTAGAGAAATAAAAAAATGAGGAATAAAAGAAGAATAGCCTATTTGTCTCAATCTTTTCTTTTAAACCACCCAAACACACTTTAAGTCCTATTCTTTCTTTTCTTTCCCTTACCTATCCCTCTCCATCCAAACGCACTCTTAGTAATGCATGAAATGTTCCTTCTCATGCTGCAATGACCAATGCAATTAATTTCCATGTTGGGGTTCCGTTGAGACTCTGTCCCATCCCAATTCCCATCTACCTTGTGGTTGTCCCATTGTTTTTAATCCATCCTTTGTAGCCCGCCACAAAAGAATATATATTTTTATTCTCTCAACATAAGAATTGATATTTTTATTTTTTTATTTTTTATTTTTCAAATTTTTTCTGACTCAGAAAGGAATTAATGTTATTTATAGACTTTAGACACATTATTTGGGGTTTGCTTTGCAATAATCAACCTAAAAGAATAGAAAATTTATTTATATTTGATTGTTATTATGGAATTTTGGAGTATATATTACGGTTTTTACTAAAATTTTCTAAAAGATCAGGAAAGTTAAATTGTATTGATGGCCAGCATTCAGTAAAAACAAAAGGATTAAATTTTAAAAGTTGAGAAAACCAATTAATTATGTCAAGGAAGGCACCTCCTTGATGAGACATATTCCTTCATTGTGCATTTATTTATACACGAATTTTTTAAAAAATAATGATAGAAAAACGGAACAATTATTCCTGAATTGTCACCGGATGTGACCTGGTGAAAACAGGTCAACTGCTTTGAACATTGTTTATCCTCTCTCACCTCACGTGATTTATAATCCTTATCTCATCCAGATCAAACACAACAAATATATAATATAAATATAGTTATAGATTTCAAAACTTTGCATCATCAGGCAACGAAGAGCAGCACTATATCGACCGACTTCAAATCAAATCAATTCCTGCACAAACCAAAAACATTAATTACAGGGTCTTTGCAGCTCAACCTTAAGAAATATGATTCTGGGTTCTTTTATTTGAATCAAAGTCCGTCCAAGAACCCACAAATGAGTCTGTTCATCCCAAACCCAATTCAACAAATGAAAAAAAAAAAAAAGAAAAAAGAAAAAAGAAAAAAACTAGTAATCAAATGAAAGCCAATACGAGCAAAATTAACGGCCGGCGATGAGCCATGAGAGGGATTGTGTGAGCTTCCATTGCAAGAGATTGCGTTTTGACTGGAAGCATCTCTCAGGCTCGCCGTTGAGTGCTGCGATTTGTGAGGTTGAAGAAGCAGGAAAATTTTGTGAGGTTGAAGGTGAACAGCGGATGACCCACCAAGCCCACGTGAGGTGAGAGAAAAAAAAAAATTCTCACGCTAAAAACGACCCTTAAAATTTATGACATGGCTCGGCCACATTAGATCCGGTAAATATTCGGGAGAAGTAATTCGGTTTCTCAACCATCACTCTTTTTGAAAAGAGGATAAAAATGCTAATCAACATAAATTTGTGCATTTATTAATTGCCAAAATTTTGTGCATGAGTTGGGGCTTAAAATGGAGACAATTCTTGTGAACTCAGGTCTAAATTCATATTTTAATTTAAATTCCTTGAACATAATTCATATTTAACTCATATAATTCAAATAAAATCTAAATAAAGATATATTTGATGTGCATGGAACTCACGGGACCGTTTACTACTCATCTCTTTATCTCTTTGGTAGTATTACTTAAAAGAATTTCACTCCATATTCAAAAAAAGATAAACAAAAAATTGACCAAAAACATACTTCTATAGATTATTATCCGATTATTTTTACTTTTCACTGTTAAGTTTTTGTCTAAACAACTAATATTATCGCCGACACCTCAATTTGTTAAATTTTACTTTTCACTATTAAGTTTTTGTCTAAACAACTAATATTATCACCGACACCTCAATTTGTTAAATCGGCTGAAGTCGGTCGCACAGTTGATTGAAATTTCTCCATCACCATCTGATCAACAAAGCATCACTGACAATCCCGACACGGTCGCACATGAATGTTTTTATCTGCTGGATCAGACACCACAAACACGTAGTGTGACTGGCCGAAGGCCACGTGGGTAAAGTTTTGCCACGTCATAACATTTCAAAGCCGTGGTAGACCTGGATGTCCACCGAGGGTGGCTGCAAGTAGGACAACTAAACGACAAAAAATCTTATATTTTTGTTTTGAGGAGTGATAAGTTTTCCGACTTCAATTGCCACTCATTCTTCGAATACAACGTGATTAAAAATGATTAAAAAAGAAAGACATGTTTACGGAATTTTGTTTTAAGAGTTCCAACATTATTCCACCACATTGTATTCGGAAGATGAATCGACAATTAAAGTCGAAAGACCTATTATTTTTTTTCTTTTTTTGGTAAAAAAAATCCTATATCTGTTTCGGGAAAAAGTTACGAATTTACAAGTAATGAGTATTAGGTTTTATTTTCTAAGATAGCTGCGTGACCCTGACGAGTGTTACCTTTAGAGAGGAACTAGCCTGAAACGGTGTGAAATTTTTGACTTTTTTTATTTGTAAGAAAGTGATATTCACCTTATTTTTTATAAATGTTTTTTTTTTAAATATATTAACAAAAATACTTATAATAATTTAAAAGAATTTGTCTAATTGAAAAAGATTTAAATTTTGGTACCTCATAAATCATCAAATTTTTCAAAATAAATATATATTTTTAATATATTAAAAAAATACTTATAATAATTCTAAATAATTTGTCTAATTGGAAAAGATTTAAATCTTTTAATATATTAACAAAAATACTTATAATAATTTTAAAGAATTTGACTAATTGGAAAAGATATAAATTCTGATATCTTATAAAGCATCACAATTTTTAAAATTTATAAGAGACACTAATACACTAAGCTATGGAAGCATCTACTCTCTTTTATCCTTGAGTTTTATTATTTTCCATTTTATACAAATTTGTGGTGACTTTACTATATTTTCTTTTATTAATATTTATTTTTCCATTAGCGTAGACAGGATGATGGACCCAAGGGTTGTCCGTCGCCGTCACATTTAGTTCCTTGTCTGACGACACGTGCTATGTGGTCCCACAAGCTCTATTTCATTGCTGACATGCGGCGCCTCTAATTTATTACTTTTATCAAAGTCAGTAGATTTTATTTTTTATTTTTTTAATTAGGACTCATAGTCTCCACTGATGTTCGAACTCCTGACTTTCCTTTAAAAAATAAAAAATTTGTACAGCTAAGTCACAGCCCTGTTAGTAAGTCAATTAGATTAGATTGTCCGCATCTAAAAAATTCAATAAACTCAGTTTAACAATTAAAATCAGTAGTAAATATATATATATACACACACACATAGATTTACTGTAGAACCAAACTGATAATTTATAATCAGATCAGGTTCATAACTATTTTACTGGTCGGAAGTTGGAACAGTTTTAGTTGGTAACGTTGGTTCCTATGATCCAGTTTGATCTTAATTCATCCCCAAAACAAACCAAAGTGTACTGTGTGTGTTTCGTTTGGCAGTGTGATTTTTATGGAATCATGATAATGCACTTGTCATTTAGATGTCCAATCCATGTTTCCTAATTTGCCATACTATCACATCCAATGATTCTAATCATAGGACAGCATATAGCCGTCTGATCTGATCAATCATACCAAAGGGCAGGTAATCCATTACCCAAGAGATGGAGAAAACTCTAAATGACTGTACATATATTTATATGATGTATCAATCAATTAGACTAGTGAAAGATTGAGTTGTTGTAATTGATCAAGAAGATGAGATAAGAGTGTAAATATCCTTTGGAGGAGATGAAACATAGGATCAATTCATTTGACAAGAGCAACATTTTTGGTCATTAAGAATCTAGAATGAGATCTATGAAAATCTTCAATGAGAGACACCTTACCCTACAGAAGAGGATTTACGAAGGGGATTTTGTGTGTACCAAAATGGACGCTAGATGGGGTCCAGTGAACCAAAACTGTTCCGGCCGAAGTGAAAAAAAGATTGTAATAGATAAAGTCCAATGACTCTTATTAACTTCTCAGAGAATAAAACTATGTTCAAGATATTTAAGTCAATACGTAATTGTCATATCATATCATGTCATATCATATTATGTCGGTTGTGTATGTGTAGTTCAAGTCAATTAGAAATATCATTTTCCCGAATAAAAATTTTTACTTTTTCTTTCAATTTTTTTGTGTCACTTTATAAAATGTGTAGTTGGAGAGGACCATCGGTTTCAAGAAAATGGAGCCCCTGCCCCTTATTTTGTGATCACTGTTTTGTCCCCTCAGCTTTACAACTCAAATACCCACAGACCATTATTGTAATTGCAGTATTTTGCACTTTCCAGAGAATATCAAAAGTAAATAAAATGAAAGAAAAAGCAAAATTCCAATTTAATGCCATGTTCAAGAAATTAATATGGCCCCCATACCATGTGTATATTTAAGCAGGCACTCCCCATGTTATAGACCATTCACAAGTTTAATGCATATCTAAGCTCTTGAAAAGAGAGAGAGAAAAAGAATCCAAAAGAAAAGCCCACATTCTGTTCCTTTCAATTCCTTAGTAATACCAAATCTGTCAACTTTTGTAGCCTCTCACTCAATCTCTTCTTCCTTCTCAAAGAATTTTCTCTAGATGAGGCCTTCTTTGTTAGTCTCTAGTCTCCTACTTTTGTCCTTTCTCATTTCTCAGGCTCAAGGTATATATATATATATATATATATATATATATATCACGAGGATTTGAATTTGGTCTTGTTTTAGCTCTGTATTTGATTGATATACTGACATGATTTGTGTTGTTTTTATGAAGGAATACGCTTAGGAAAAGGATTTGCATCATTTGAGCATCATAAAATCCATGTGGGTACCCAATGTTTTTCTGTTCTAGTCTTTCATTTGAACATTTTCTGATATATATATATATATACTAGTTTTCCAAGCTAATTTCTAATGGTGAAATTTTTGGTATTCGAAATGCAGGAAGGCACCCTCATCAGAACAAGTAATGGAGGCGTTGGAGATGTTATTCTCTGCAAAGATGGGCATTATTCAGGTACTGTGATCGAAGACAAGAACTTCAAGGGTGACCAATGAATCTGATCACCATTGGTTACCAAAATTTCCTGAAGAGTACTATGGACCTAGAATTCACAACCCTAGGCACCATTAAATTTCTCTTTAATTTAATTTTTTTTTTTTTCTTGAAGATGATAAGTTAATTAATTACTTGAATTAATTTTCACAAGAGAATTTAGTTTGAAGTGTTATAAGAAAACCATAGAAATTCATTATAAAAAATTTCTAAAAATTAGTTGCCTTAGTGACCACTAAATAAGTCCCATGTCATATCTTAATTAATTAATTATTATTATTTTTTTTTGGGAAATTCAAGCAAATTGTATCTTAATTAATAAATGGCTTTCTGTTTACAATTTGCAGGGAACTGTAGAAAACTTATGACGACAAAGACCACTTCTAGTACTATCAACACTTCAAAGGTTGGTTTTTCACAAGACAAGTTAATTCATATCTCTAGGGTATAAATGAACACCCTCTTTCTTCTTTATTGGCCTTAACAAATATGGTTCTATCCTCCATGTACAGACTGTCAACAGTGGAGGGAACAGAGCTGACCCCATGTCCCAGGGCAAATCGAGTAGTGAACAGCTTGGCGGGAAAGAAGAAAATTTCTCCATTAACCCTTCACCTGTTACTGAGCACCGGCAAGGATCCACCGAGCACTATCCGGATATTTTAGACATAGCAGGGATGGATTATTCTCCGGCAAGGAGAAAAACTCCTATACACAACTGAGAGTTTGAAGAAAAGGAGTAGCTTTAGAAAGATGAGAAGTAATATAAGTACTTGGACAGCATTACAGAAATGCTGCAATTTTTTAGGGTTAGGAAGATCTTTGTACATGGTATAGTCCTATATTATTCTTACATTAATTGTTATTTGACCATTGTTATATGGAAATTACATCAAATAAAATCAGTTTATTGTATTTAACCTATGTATTTCTGTTTAGTTTGCTTGGCCTTCTATTTTACAAACAGAGATTCCATTACCAATTACCAAATAGCAACCGATTCATTTGGGTGATCTTCATTTCAATACTTCCATTTTGTACCCTAATTCACTTTTTTTTTTTGGATGACGTGGGAACTCTCGCAACTATTTGCCCTTTGGACTTGTAACTACCAAGTAAACTCCCAATTACTCACCTCGACCCCACAGTACAAATAACATTTTAAGTCGTAAACTTGCAGAGTTTGAGGAGAATCGAACTCACACCCAAGTGCTAGATATGGTTATGGCTGCCCCTCCCAGCAATTCTGCTGGCGCCCCTCTAGTTCATTTATTTCTCGAACTTACTTAAAACTTAATTCGATTTAGAAATAATTTATAAAAATAACTCCAAATTCATCAGAAAAGCCCACAAAATTTATTTAAATTTTCAATAAAAGCCTTATTATAGCTAGCAACAAAAGTTTAAATAGTTTCCAAGTTGGGGACTTAGATCTTCTAAAAGAAACAGACATGACAATCAAAAAGTGATCGTGTTCAATGAAGTAGGTGTGCTTATGTGACTAACCCCTTTCGTGGGCTTCTGCACTCAGGCAAGAATGGCCCATGGGGGGATTTTGGAAAGGGCCCACCATGTTTCACTGATTTGTTGGTTGAATGAGTGGTCACTTCCACATGTGGGCACACATGTTCTGTGTTGGGTCAAATGTTGTGGCTATTGGAGCTGACTAGCTGAGAATGTGGTGTACCGCGAAATATGGGGATGCATTTAGGGCTTGATGTGTTGTGACATTGGACCAAGCACCACGGTTTGCAAGAGGCCCAAAAGTGTCTGCAAAATGTACCACTAGTTATCAATGGTTTGTGGACATGTAAATTGCATAGCATTCAATGCTTCGATATATATGATCCACTGTAGAAGGCCCAAATGTGTCTGCAAAATGTACACTAATTATCAATGGTTTGCAGACATGAAAAATGCATATGCATTGCAATCAGTGCTTCAATATATATGATCACTGTAGACATTGGATCTCACCTTGGAGAAACTACAGTTTGGAACTAGAAAGATCACCTAGAAACTACTTTGATATGTTTGTTACTATTAATTTTTTTTTTTTGTCAGTTTTAGTTATTACTTCATCGGTTACTTTTAATTCTCACTTCAGCTGTGCGAAAAATTATTATGTCGTTTTATATTATGTAAGTCTAACCAATCACGAGAGTTGATGCAAATAAAAAATTTGATTTCTCTTCTTGATTAGTTGGAGCACGGCCCTGTAATAATTTTTCTCTCACGTTGTTGTAATGAGATATATACAAGTAACAAAAAAAACTAAATAGTAAACATGATACTATTTAATTTCTTTTCATTTTTAATTCTATCGTGAAAGAGAAATTATTATAATCAAGAGAATTGATACAAATAAAAAAAAATTGAATAATTTTTCTTCTAATTGGTCGGACCACATGGTCAACACATACTATCAAACTGGTTTTTGGGTGATTTTTCTAATTCCAAACCGTACATTGAAATAGCATAACTTTAGAACACTAATTCTACCTTTAAAATAAATTTTCCATTTAATTCCGCTACCCCTCGGATACTAAAACAATGGGTTCTTTTTATATATATATATATATTTTGATATGTGTGTAATGCACTTTTTTTTTTTTGGGGGGGGGGGGTTTAAAGGTATTGAAGAATATATTTTTCAGGTGTCAGTAGTTGCACAAAAAAAATTAGAAAATAAGAGTAAAATCATGGAGATGGGAGAAAATTTTAGAAGAAAAGTGCTTTTAAATTTGTTGTAGGTTGAACATGTGCATTGCATTGGAGAAAATTCAAATTAGAAGTGAACAAATAATTATTAATAGAGGTTTTTATGAACAAGAGGAGATTTAAGTTAAAAAGAATATAAATTTTGTTATTTAATTAGGAACTAAATAAAATCAGAATGCAATTGAATGATATTGGTAACAAGACACTAGTGAAGTGTAAACCATTTTCTAAAGTTTATATATAGTCATAGTCACAATTTAAAAACTAAATAAGATAGGAGTAAACTTAGGATTTGCTTCAAAAGTATTCCATTCTTCATATGACATTAAAAAATGAGTCAGTATAATAGTTAGGCACAAATAAGCTTGAATATCATTTAAAAAAAAAAAAAAAAAATTACTGAAGTACTAAGTTAGTTTTGATGATTTTTTTCTTTTCTTTTTGGTAAGTAGTTAATTTTGATTTTAGTTACACAACGTACACCCGTTTGAATGGTTTAATATACTTTGATGACAAGGATAATGATATTTTTAGAAGAAAAAAATAAATTAATATGTAAATTAGGCATAGAATAACCCCAAGCCTGGCTGCAGATCACAAAACCACATTCACGTCGAAAGCAACAATCCCCCAAATCTGTCTTGCAAACGCCGTAGATAACGCAGATTCCATGGCCGTTTGTTCTCTTTCGCTGACCAGCTGCGTGTTCTCGCTCAGACCTCCTATTCGGTCATATTTGTCGTTCGACCGCGCTCTCGAACTATGGTTTGAAACTGTGCCTGAACTCTTCATTTCTTCATTTCTAAATCGAATCTAGGTTCTCTAGTTACTTTTCCTTTGTCAATTGAGAAATCAAGCTCGCATTTTTTAATTACTCTGACCGATTTCAAACATTTCTAGGTTTTCATTAGCTAATTGTATTTATGTGATCGTTCGAATCCTTGCTTGAACGTTAACAGACTCAATAATGTTGTCTGAGAAATCCAGTGACGACCATGTCACAACCAACCACAGTGATTCCTCTTCGCTTTCGGCGAGAGAGAAGAAGAGCCCTGTTACGGCCGATGAGAAGAAGAACTCTATGGCCGATAAGGTGAAGGAGATTGTTGATACCACTGACCTCCACTTGGATGTACTGGTTGATTTGCATCCTACCGTTTCCCCCAATCCTTTCGGTTTAGGCCGAGCCTTCGAAAACATCCCACCCTCTTCCTTGTCCGAATTCTACCCATTACCTGAGAAAAAACTTCCTTTTAGTCAGAAATTTGAAGCTGAAGATTCTAAGGGCCCATTTTTCTACATTAGGAGTTGGCACATACCCAATCAAGATTGGATTGATTGGGTGGATCGTGTAGAGGCCGAGAAAGGAGACCTATGGAAGGAATTGGATATCTATGATGCCATTATGTTTAGCAAAGTTAAGGTTTCTATAGACAAGCCTCTGCTATTTTCTTCTCTTTTCTTTTGGTCTGTTTCGACCAATGCTTTCCATTTTCGGTGTGGGATGATGAGTCCCACTATTCAGGATGTTTGTTTTCTAACGGGGCTTAGGCCGCATGGGGAGGAAATACATCCTCTTCTTTTTAATCCGCACATTGCTTATGACTATCCAACCAAGGATGCAGCCACTGGGACTAGGCACATATCATCTTACAGCCATTTTCTGTCTGTTTGCAAAGGAACCGGCCCGGTCACACTGACTGAACATATAGCATTTTTGATTTATTGGTTGAACAAATGTATGTTCCGTGGTCCTGCAGGTGCAATTACTAAAGATTTCACCCAAGTAGCTATTGCATTGGCATCAGGCCAAAAGCTGGCCTTGGCACCTTTAGTTCTCTCCCATCTTTACAGAGCTATTCATGACTTTATTGCTGTGAACTTTGCCACTGGTGCAGGTCCATTATGGCTCCTCCAATTTTGGCTCCAAGCTTACTTTCCCGAGCTTGGTCCACAGATCAACCCTTATGCTGATGTTCCCCTTTATGGTTATCACTATCTTGCTGCTCAGCCAAAATCCCAAAGTTTTGCAGCCTGTTTTTGCTACTTCTATGACCAGGCTATATATCGGTCTCCCATGCAGTTTATTCCTTTTCTTCCCAGGACCAAGGGACCCAAGTGGCTTCTATACGGCCCTGGCGAAGCTCCTCCTGCAGATGCTGAGGAACACCATGCTGTTTGGTCTAGCTTTCTTATAGGCAGGGACCTACACTATAGCCCCGCACGTCTAGGTTCTGCCAATTGTAAGTGTGGAGTTGAATATTACAATGCCGCCCAATTGGCTAGACAATTTGGTCTCACACAATTGGTTCCTCTTCCTCCTTACCCTTCCTGCAACAAGGTGTTTTCCATTCGAAGCTTTATCTCTTCTGATGCTCAAATAAAGAATACCTCAAATCTTTTCCAAGATTTCAAAACTGATTTTCAAGTAAAAAGGTTTGAGGAAATGCCCAACTCTACTTCAGCTTTTGACATCTGGTGGACAAAATACATAATTACCACACGGGTTGAGGATGCTGGGACGGTTTTGATGCGTATTAGTGCATATTTTGGTTCGTTGGAGCCCAACAAATCAGTTATCAACTCTAAGAAGAATGATGGTTCTGTTCCCACTGTTGTGCGGATAAAGAAGAGAAAACCTCCAACCAGAAAAAGTAAAGGTAAGTATGACTATGATTCCATCTTGGCTTGTGAGAAATTTTTTAACTTCATGTGAAACCTATTTGATTGTTGAACATGCCATTTAAAGGAATTTGTGATCGAGAAAAGGGCAGCAGCTGCAAAGTACTCACTAAAAGAAGTTCAATATAAGGGAAAAAAATCGAGCTGGTGCTAGTTGGCAATTCCATTACAAACAATGAAATTATTTCCATTTCACAATAGCTATTTCATTAACTACTCAGATTTAGATGAATGGTTATGCATACCAAGGCGTGATTGTTTGGGTTTGACTATTGTAATTAAAGTATTGGTATACCTGCTTGTTTCAGCCTTCTTGATTACCTTGCTTTTTATTATACAGCTGCCCTGCCTCCAACGCAACCAATCCTTTCGGCACATGAGGAAGAGAAGGAAGAAGAAGATGCCCTTGCTTGTCCTACCTATAAGAAGGTTAGAAAGTTAAAGACTTCAGCTACATTTCCTCGTGGCAAGGTGAGACATCACATTCTAATGATTCTATATCAGTACTTCCTTCTTTTATGCTGGTTGCTGATCAATTTGTTCTCCTTTGGCAGCGTGCTCCTCAAATTTCCAAGGAGAAGGAGAAGAGAAAGAAGAGAAAGGTAGAAAGGAAGAACAATGATGAAGTTCTCCACATGGAAGCCCAGCCAAAGGGTTCATCACAAGAAGTCACTTTGGCGGCTGTTGCTGACATTGGTATTCCTGTGGCTGATATTTCTTCAACATTGGCCTTTCCATCTATATCTTCAACCATTGCTGCTATGGTCCGAACAGCTGCTGAATCAACTGAGACCAAATCTCCTACTTGGGTCAACAAGGTATATATCTGACAAACATCTATCTTCACAAATTTTCATCTTTATATCCTTGGTCATAGTACATTTGTTCTTTTGTAGGAAATTTGTTCAGCCACAACTTCTTCTTCCCCAGGAAACCAAGGCTCCATGGAAGAGTTGGACGCCTTCTTCCGTAGCATAGAGTCATCAGTTGACGCTGATGAAGAAGTGGGTGAAGTTACTGTGGTAGCCACTCCTCCACTAACAGGCCCCTCTGAGGAAGATATTGAGAAGGCCAAATCTTTTTTAATGTCCACAGTTTCCAAGGATCTTTCTGAGCTGCCTAACATTACTGCAGAACTAACTAACGCTCTTTCAGTCCTGACCAGCATCTTTGTTTTTACAACTGAACAGTTTGCTGCATTGGTCACACTTCAAAAGCAGCTTCCTACCATTTTGGCTGAGTATCACTCCTTCACTAAGACCTCACAAGATTGTGATTCCAAACTTCAACTGAAGAAGAGCTTGGGAGATCAATTGAAAGCTAATGTGGCCATGTATAAGCAATCAAAAGAGACTCGAGCCAGGTTTACCCAGAGAGAAACCGAGATTGAAAAGGAGATAGCCAGGCTTCAACTTGAGCACAGCAGCATTAGAAAGGAGAATGAGGAGATTGGGTACAAACTTAAAGACCTCCAAAAGGAAACCATTGAGCTTAACAAACATCGGTCACAAATCATTGCGGAAGCACCCAGGCTGGAAGCTGAGAAGAAGAAAGCTGAAGAAGGAGTTGCTCGGACTGAGCAAATATGGACTGAACTTAGAAGCAAATTTGTGAATATAATGTGAATATTTCAATGTAATTAATGAGGAATTGAAATCTAAAGGTATGTAAGTTATAAATTTAAGGAATTGAAACGACAAGATAATCATGGAAATTTGGTCTGAAAGTGCCCTTATCGGTGGAGCTTTCTATTTATACTGATGATAGGAGATGGCAATTTAATTTCATGCAGGGTCTCTTCTCTGCTCATCAGGTGTTCCGGATTTGCCATGTTGCTATCCCCTTCTATTACTTGCCTAAGTCATGGGTTATGCAGGAAGAAATTCTCACTGGAGGGCGCACTAGGTATGCATCTAAAATTTTGCCATTATTTATGGATATTTATTATTTACTTTTATAAAAGGTATATGATTAGTAATTTTATAGATCTTCAATGATTCCTCGGGTGAATTTCAGGCTCAGGCTCAACGCTCTGTTGAAAGGTTTCAACAATATTAACAAAAAAGTCACCAGACTAAAGGTTGCATGTGTTACCGCTGATTTATTTGGTTACATTTTTGCTCTATTCTTTCAGGACTTACTTTTTTTAAAGAAAAAAAAAATTAAATTGTGAATCTAATTATGACAAAAATTTATTGACTGGGTTGGTAAAGTGTTAGCTTTCTTCTTTCTTGAATTACTATTAGCTTTCGGTTTTATTCTTTTCTTAGACTGAACGAGGAATGATTTGAACAATTTCTTTTGTTTTTAATTCCTGTGTATTAATTTGTTTGTGCCATACTTTTCTCCGGTGGAATAAATTATTCAGGTACCCACCAAAGTTCCCCTAAGACCCCCCTTTGTGGGGATATGTACTCCTTTCCTTGTGGCCGAACAGACATTTTTTAGACTGTATTTCAGTGTGGAATCTTTCCTCCATTTACTTTCTCTTCTTATGTTTCGGAGTTATAAAATTGGTTGTCCTTATGCTGTTTTCCCAATCTCTCTCTCTCTCTCTGTGTGTGTGTGTGTGTTTTTTTTTTTTTTTTTTTTTTTTTTTTTTTTTGATGTTGGTGTTGTTGGTTGGGGACATATTCATATTCCTCCTTTTGTGTGAATAAGGAAGACTGCATGTGATGCAGGGCTGGTAGGAATATTTGATATTTCTGAACTTTGTTATATTTATTCTCTCACTGTTTGGAACTGATTTGTATGTTATGGTTCCGAATTGTTGGCTGCTAAATTATCTGTGTGATTTGATGGGTTATTATCACTTTCGACTTCAAATCGTCATTTATGCATTTACCCAATCAACAAGAAACCCTTCGTAAAAATCGATTCTTCTGCTATTGTTACCTTTTGATGCTTGTGTTAATTCTTTGAAGTAAATATTTCATAAAAACTAACTGTTCTTATTTCCTCATTGTCATTTAGAAAATGCACAACTTGGATGAACTAACTGAAGAAATCATGAAGTTGGATATGAACAAGGAAAAGACAGGATCATCAGTTGAATGTTTCAGTAAGGTCCTCAATCTTGAAGCTTGATGCAAATTGAGATTTACTACTTATTGTTGGTAATGTTTTTATATTTTCTTTCCTCTTTGGGTTGATATGAAAAGTCATATATTTTCTTCTCTTTGGGTCATAAGTTTTTGATAAAATGTTTTGGGACTTGGTGATAGTTATTACTGGAGTAGGAGGAGTTTCATTTGGATCGTACTTTGGTTTACTTGGCTAGAAAATCTGAAACCATTCCATATTAAAGCCTCAACGTTCCATTTTACACTGTTTATATGTTATTATATGATCTTAGAAACTGGTCTATGAAAATCAAGTTGAAAAAGGTTGATTTAGAGTACTAAACATATTTATTATTTTTTTCATTTTTCTAGATTTTGCCCCAAACAATTAGAGGAAAAGGAAGACAAAACAAAATGTTATGATCAAGAAAATATATGCAAATATCTCATTTAGTAGACCCCTCATACATACGCGTACCAAACTTTAGGATCATATAGTAATTAAAAAAAAAAAAAAAAAAAAAAAAAAAGGGAAAAGAAAGAAAATACAATTAAAGAGACTTTAAAACTTTAAAGCTTTGATGAAGAAACTGCCACTCCATTTCTGTTTCCATTCATCAAACAAAACCCGGTGGGTGTGGGCTGGAAATTCCTCCTTCGAAGATCATCGCTTGACTGGAAATTCCTCCTCGTTCGAAGATCACGGCTTGACGGTCTGATGATATGGAGGATCAAGGCCTTCTATGATTCGGATTTCGCGATCACTACCAACTTCCAACAGGTTGATGAAAACTGTGCTGAGAACCGTTGATGGACTAGGAATCCACGAGACTTTCCTATGCAAGCTGCACCGGAACGAGCCCGGTGGGCCGGTGGGAGAACACATACATGTCCGAGTTGGTGTGGAGGGCTTTGAATTGGGTGATGCATTCCAAGAAGCCATGGAAAAGTTTCAACTCGATCAAGAATATTCAAACAATGCGGTTCTCTTGTTTTTTAAGCAGTCCAAACAGAGGTTGAACATAGGGGGTTTATATAGCCTAGTTTTAATGTTGTAATTACATTAATAGCCTTCGCTTTCGTTCATTTACAATTTTTATTTGGACAAATGGCTTTTAACGTAGGGATTATTCCAATTAAATGGTGTTAATAATTCATATTTATCATTTAATGGAGTTTAAGTTTCATAATTTTGAAAAAATAAAATTGACCAAAATGATGAAGTGGACATTGAAAAACATTTTTATTCTCATTGAGATACCACTTTTAGACACATAGGTATTACTTTTTGTGCACAGAGGTACTACTTTTTATATATCAGGTACTCTTTTTGTTTTGGGCATACAAATAACATTTTTGTGCAAAGTGGTATTTGATGCACAAAAAGTGGTACCTAAGGCAAACAATATTTTTTCGAAATTACGAGATTTTGACTCTATTAAATAGTAAATATGGATTATTAGTACTATTTATATGTAATAATCCCTTTAACGTAATTAACAAAATGAGATTTGAACCAAATAAAAGTAATAAGAAAGTTCAGCACTTCAGCACCATTACGAATTCAGCCTTACTGGATTAAAAAATTCTGGAGGACAAAATGGTCTTTATGTGAAATATTAATTTCCTTTTTAACATGCTATGTAACAATTATCGGGCTAGAATTTTGGGAAGGTTGAACCCAAGCCGAGCATTGAGTAAATATGGACCGGATCGGATTGTCTTACTTGGATTATTATATGTGTGATCCAGGGACGGAGCCAATGTAGGCATAAGGGGCTCACGTGCCCCTTGGCCCGTTCGAGCCCTATATATATATATATATATATGAAAATTTTCAATTGCTAAAAACATCTCTTGATTTTTTATTTCTTCTCTCTACTACTCTTTAAATTCTTTTGATTCCCTTAAAAAAAAAAAAAAAAACCAAAAATTTACATTCCTCTTCTTCAATCAAAATCAATTTTTTTTTTTTTTCCCTTCAGAAATAAAAGTCTCATTTTTTTTTTCTTTTCTTGAAATTCTTCTTTTTGCAATTATGTCTGATGCATGTACTCTAAAGCCTTTTTTTTCTTCTTCTTCTTCTTCTTATTTCTTTACTGCAAATTTTACTTTATTTTATTCTATTTTATTTTGTGTAAATAATGACATACTATTTGAATGTTGAGATATCCACCGTTACCACACTTCTATATTTCAAATTTCTGCTGCACGTCTATTTATTTTTTTTCAAAATTTTGTCCTGCACTCTTAGCATCATATGTATGTCAGTTGAAAAAAAAAAAAAATTTGTCTTGTTTAATATGCCTCTCTTCCGAAATAGATTCCTAACTCATCATTGTTTAATTTGTTTTTATTGAAGCTAACCATGCTAAATTGATTGAGGCTAATTTAATCAATATAAAATAAATTACAACGGCCCAATGTAGCATAGATAGGCTATCATGCATGGCACTCAAAATACCAACCAAAAATTGTTTAAGACAGTTATAATTTTATTAAATGAAAATATTATCGATCAATATTTTAATTTTTAATATTTATTAAATATTTATCTTTTTTATTTTATTTTAGGGCTATTATTATAAAATTTTTATTTCTTTTAAATTTTGATCATAAGCTTTTAACCTGTATCAAAAAACTTTCCACACTATAAAAAGTGATCACATTGCCCTAATATTCGTATCCGACCCTTTAATCAGGTTATGAAATAAATTTGACTTTAAAAATATATATTTTAATATAATTACAAAAATACCCTTTAAACCAAATAGTTTTTTTCTCCACCTCCTCTCAGTCTCTCTCTAAAACTCACCTTTTGGTCTCTCTCTCTACAATAGAGAAAACAAAGGGTCAGTGGTGTAATATACTTTGTTTAAGCCAGATGCTGAATTCATCTGCCCAAACTTCACTGGGTATTGAGCTAATTTATAGCATACAGTGCATTCAAAATCGCCACTGTCGTCATTACTTATATCACCCGAATTAGACAGACCCATCGGATCACCCGCTTCACCAGATCCACTATCCATATCAAAACATATAACTGTCTTCAAAATTCAAATGTCTCCTGATATATTCATATAAAATCATAACTCAATTATCAAATCAAATTCAACAACCGGGTTCTTATTGGGCGCTAATTCCGTAACCCTAAAGACTTCCGATTCGGACTGCGACTTGAAGCAATTGGCCGGTTTGGCGGCGAGTTTGTACTGTTGCGAACCCAAAAGCTTAACAAACCGATCCAGTGACTTACAGAGACCCAACGGTTACAGAAAAACGAAAAAAAAAAAAAATAGTTTCAGCGAGCGAAAAGCTCCGGCGTGATCATTCAAACCCAATAGCTCCGGCGACTTTTTCTTTTACAGACCCAACTAGCATAGCCCTAAATCAACCACTTGAGTGACATAACTATATGTAATGGAAAATTTAATTTTTTTTCTCAGAGAAGAAAATTTAATCTCTGTTGCACATACTATATGTAGTAGAAAATTTGATTGCTGTTGTAAAATATGTGCAGCTATCAAGAACAAAGTCAGTGAGTTTGTTTTAAATTCTCAAAGTGAACGAGTCTGCTTGAAGAAACAAAATCCGTGCTAGAGTGGTGGTGATGGGTTTATTGCGATTTTGGGTTTTGGTTGTGGTTTTACTTTTGGTTTAAAGAGAGAAAGGTAGAAGCATTAGAGATGGGGGGAGGGATATTTTTGTAATTTTAAAATAATAATTTTAGTTTTAATTTAACATTAAATTAACCGGTCAGATACGGATATTGAAGTAATGTGATCACTTTTTATAATGTGAGTGATTTTCTGAAACAGATTGAAAGTTTATGATCAAAATTTAAAAATAGTAAAAGTTTTGTGATAATAGCCCATTATTTTATAATAATAATTTTTTTTTTCTTGTTTTCCTTTTTATTTGAATAGTCAAATGTTTGCCATTTTGATTTTTTTTTCCCATCAAGTATGTACATTGTGCCTTCCTAAAATGAAATCCAGTTAGTCTTTTGGTTTATTAACCTAACAATTATTAGATGATTCTGAATTATTGGCACTTTGTGATCGAATCAGTAAAATACAAATTCAATTAAATATAAACTCTCAAATTAAAAAAATATAATATATTAAAAATTGTCATTAGCAAAGAGATGTCATTGAATTAGCAAAATTATTTAATAATATCTCAACAACTGTCAACTACCTCCTCCAACTTTGTCCAATGATGTGCCCCACTTGAATTCATTACATGGGCCCTTCATTCTTAGTATGGTCCATCGTTGCTTATAGTTGCAGCTCAGTGTGACTACTCAGTATTGATTATCTAATTCTTAAATTCTTCTTCTTACAGATTTCATTGTCGAGCATTACAAACTCAGTTAAATACTTGAATTAAAAAAAAATTATAATATATTGCAAATTGTCATTATCAAAAAAATGTCATTGAATTAGCCTACCTAATATCAAATAGATCAAAATCATTTAATAATTTCTCAACAACTATCAACTACCTCTTCCAACTTCGTCCAATGATGAGCCCCACTTGAATTCATTACAAGGGCCCTCCATTCCTAGTATGGTCAATCGTTGCTCATAGTTACAGCCCATTGTGACTACTCAGTACTGACTACCTAACTCTTACATTCTTCTTCTTTCTTACGGATTTCATTGTCGAGCGATGCGGACTAATTTCTCTCTCCATGACTGTGTAACTTTTGAAATAAAAGGAAAAGATAGTAGTATTTAAAAGTGTTAGGGTTTGTATTGTTCATTGAGAAAGTTGAAATACTGAATTTGAGAGAGACAAATGGTGTATTGGGGTTAGGATTTGGAACACTTCCCCGTCTTATCTTTTTTTTTTAGGCATTATTCAGTGACTTAGTTAATAAATCGCCCAGTTCTCAGCATGTTCGTATTCAAGTTCCTTTCTTCCTATTTTGCCAAGAAAAAAAAATCAATCCTATTGAAAATACCTTTAAAATTAAAGATCCAAATAAAAATAAAAACATTCATACAGTTGGATACTTCTGCAAGTCAAATTACATAAAATATTCTTGTGCTTTTTCAAAATTTGTCACAACACTTCCTCTTAAAAAAAACGAAGTATGTAGAATGATGGTACCAGAGTTATATTTCATGAATTTTGTCATGCATATATAGCAGCCTCCTCCATTCATATTATTTTCATAGCAATTTCACCCTTTCAAACTAAAAATCAAATCAAAGGCTACAAACTTTAGTTACTTTTTAGATATATATATCATGGATGTTGGTAAAATATTACATGCTTAGGATGTCCTGTGTCAAATTGTCAAAACTTAATGCTACAAACTATTGTTCGATAAGGTGCAACTTAATATAGTAATTTATTTCATCTTACAATAACATTCATTATTTTACATAGCCAAGAAAAACACAAACCCCCCCCCCCCAAAAAAAAAAAAACCCAAAACAACGTACAGAACATTACCTACATAATTACATATCTGGAAACGAAGATCTTTAATTACAGCGATCTACCTTACGATATACCTGCAGAACTAGCACAAGCAAGAGAAAGATAGGGGTGAAAGCCTTGAGAACCTTCTGAAAGTGATACAGACACTCGTTGATGAGATTAGAAAGCTTGACCTTCCATATATTGTTGTAATAGTTGTTCACTTTCTCGACGGTCTTCTATATGATTAGACTTCTCATCTGGTTTCCCCATGGATTTAGGTATCCCATTGAAGATATCTGCAACTTCAGCATCCCTCAAATGCCCTTTAATGATTTTTTTTTCCCTCAGCAACCTTGCATCCTCTGCAGTATCTATAATCCCACACATGAGATCCACATATTGTGCTAGCTCAAGTGTAATGCCAGACATAGATGACGATGCTTCGTAAGCCACTAAGTTTCGGAGTATAACTTCTGAATTAACATCGAGTGTGATGAGAGGAAGGTAGAGAGTGACTTCCTTTTCATCAAACTTAATGTCCCTGATGCCTCCTTTGTCTTTTAGGCAGCTGAACTTTAATCCAGCATTATTAATAAGTTGTGACACTGACGGAATTTTGATCTCCTCTGCCGTAGTACTAGTCGTCTTACTGTCTTCTTTATTAATGTCCACCTTGTTGTCTTCGGATATTGTGTTGAGGCCGAAATCAGAATCTTCTGCTACTTCATGATCTTCATCTAACAGTTTAATTTCGACTTCGCCAGCTTTTTTATTGACATTTCTAAACCATAGCAGATCAAAAAAATTTCCCCTACACAAATTTTGTATGATTGGATTTGGAAATACATTTGCACTGGATCTGTCTTTACTCACACTACCCGCGGTTGACCCCTCTCCCCGATAGTTCAGAATCATTTGATACATCAAATCCAACAAGTTCACGGCCGGTTTGTCAGTAGGGATAAATAAACTTGGAACTATAAATTTCAAGGGAGATATTTTCTTATAAAAAAGTGGCGGACCAAAGTCTCTTACAGCATCAACTTGATGATCAGAAGATGAAAAAATCTGGAGAATCCTCCATATTTCCTGTAACAGGATCATCGGAAGTTGGTTCTCAAGCATCATAATATCCCTAAGGATATAAGCTTCCTTTGTCAATTTCCTACCTGCAAAATCAACTATATATATATATATCATTTACATTGACATTATTGCAAAGGTTTCTACTTAGCTTCTAATCTATAAATCTTACTTTCTTACGAGCAGGAGAAAAAAAAAAAAAAAAAAAAAAAAAAAAAAAAAAAATTAATTCCCTACCTGAAAAATCAATTTTGTTGTAAGTAGCACAGAAATCGAGCAAAAACAAGCCATCGATGGCCATTACGCATGCTAATGTATTATCACTGAAGGGCAGGTGATTGTGGTAACATGCCCGGATTGTAAGCACGAAATTGGTCTTCAACAATTCATCAATGAACTTTTGGAGTTGGAAGACTTTGTATGGCTCCAGAAATGTTTTCACTTTAGCCAGCTTGTATCCCTCCATGGCATAGAGTTTGGGCTGGAAATGATGAGCTGGTCCCAAACCTATATGCTGAGGGACATAAGCCTCTGGCTTCATTGTGCTCAAGGTTTTGGGCACGTGAAACACGCAAACACGAACTTCATCATCATTAATGGTGATCGACCTCTCCCAAATTTGGCCAATTCCATCCACCCATTGCTCACTAGAGATTGAATTCAAGGCCATTTTAGTTTAATTGGTTCTGTTGCCAAGCTTGTAAATTCTTGATATTTTTGTTCGTATATATATAGCAATAAATAAGACCGAGTCTAGCTGCGTGGTACGACCTTATGCTGAGGTTATTCTGTTTGCACCCTAAAATAATTTTCTCCCGCCGTTAATTGGGAGAATAATGTGTTGTAGTGATTCAAACTTCTATTCAGAGATGAAATCTAATTCAGCATACGCATCTTGAGATAATTTTCTGATTGGACCATGTGCCAAAGAAGTACAAGACAATGTTGAGAGCATAGCGCCACGTCATCAAGTGACTCCTTCAAAATTGTTTCAAAGCACGTGATTGTGGGGGGAGAATATGAATAAGGGTGCAACTTGGGTTGGATAACCTGGACCTAACTCAATTTTTTTATAAGTTTGGACAATTATTTTTATATTTAGGGTTGAGCTTCGGTTAAAAAATTCCAACCCGAATTTAATTAGGGTTGGATTTGGATTGAAGTGCTAACAATACGAACAACCTGAACCCAAATTATAATATTATTTTCATATATATTTTTACTTTTAAATACATTATATATATAATATTTAAACTTTGAATACTTTTTTTTTTTTTTTAATTTTCAACTCTTTTTGTTAACATTTAAGAGAATTAATTTTTTAAAAAGTCATAAGTGTTCAAAAGGAGGATTGAGTAATTCGAATCCGTTTGGACCTTTAATAAAAATATAAAAATATACAAAATTGAAAGACACAATTCCTTGCCCTAAATCATAAAATTTGGCCGAAAAGTAGTCTACACTAATTTTTTCAAGAGTTAGGCTATTTCTCATCAAATAGGGAGTCTAAAAAATTATTATTTACCAAAAAAAAAAAAAAAAAAAAAGTTATTGTGAAAAATTGAAACACACCCCCTATGACTTTTTAACATCCAAAAGGACCAAATAAATTTCAATTCTACATCAATAATTCAATGGACGTCGCTTTTACATTTTAAATTTCAAATCTTCATTATTTCTGATTTAATTTTACTGCTTTCACACTCTCGATTTCAAATTTAATTTTACTGCTTTCACACTTCCTCTCTCGCTCTTGCTTCCACTCCACTTGACTTGGGTTGTCCCCAAAGGATTACAGGATTCCGAAGAAGGCATTGCCCAAAGTACATACGAAAATAACGGTTTTGAACAAGAGAAGCAACTAACTTGAAGACCGTTGAGAACAAATCTCAGTCAAAGCCCCCAACACCATCTTTCTCGGTCAGACAAATCAGTACCACCCCGTACCACTACAACACCCCCCTCTCTCTCTCTTACTTTCTCTCTCTATACCTCTCTAATAATATATATCATTATGTTCGTCTCTCTCAACAATCCTTCTCAATTCCCTAGTCTCATCTCTCTGTTTTTTACTTCCAAAGACTGTCTCATACTATGCATTCTTGCGCATTACTGAGAAAATCCTCACCGTTGATCCGTCGAGTCGTCCAAGCTCAACGTCTCAACACTCGTCCCATCTCCACCCAATCGAACGGCCCACTTTCATCACCACCATCATCATCATCATTGAAATCGTTTGGTGAGTCAAGCTATAATGAGGACAAGAGGAGTGAATCAATTTTAGAGTCGTTTCTGAAATCGCTGATCTCGTCTGGGGTTGTCGTGGTAGGGTCGACCTTAGGGCTTTGCTATTGGTCTTCTCTTTCTGATACCATTTCATTTCTATCTTACGCCGACTCCGGAGACGACACTACAGAGCCTGAAAAGAAACCCAAGTTTCTATTTGGAGGTAATCATTTATATCTATAACACACTTACATACACACTTATATAATGTGTATATACATGTATATCTACAAGCCTAAATCTAGTATTAAAAACATGTCCTCTCATTGCTTGTTTAAATACCCCACTATGCTTTGTTTTGGGCAAAATGTTATCTTATAAAACTGACGAGATTCTCGGAGAGGATCCTTATCGGTATTTATATAATTGAATGTATATAATATGTATATTTATTTGGTGTGGATTATTCTTAAAATATCCCAATATAAAGCTTTTGTCAATGATGAGGATTGATTGAGTAAATTATATTGAGGACACATTTATATATGAAATGTTATGTTGATGAATTTGTGATTCAATTAATACATTGAATAGTATTCCACTAAGGCTGTGCTAGTATCGGTTTCTTGTTCTCTTCAAGAAAATTGTACAAACTAAAATTGAATGATTACAAGCTATATCTTAGGATTGGGGTCACGGGGCCATGTCTAATGATAATCTTTCGATGTTTTGCATTCGTGTTTGTTCATTGAAAAAATACGGAAGGAATATAAATGGCTAAAATATTGATTCATCTATAGGATTTCAAGCATGTTTGTTATCTTTCTCGCTCTTTTCAAAAACAAGGAGGTTTAGAGTGGAGGATTTTCCAGAATTCACTTCTGTTGCTATGATTTTAGACTCTCAACTAGCCACCTCACTCGATGCTGAAAATTTTGTTGGTCGTTTCTGATCTATATCAGGTCCTGTTATAGAGTCAGTGACCTTGTAAGCTTCTTGATGTTTGTACCAAGGCTAATTGAAGTGTTCATCAGTTAGTGAAGGATAGTTTGGGCTACCATCTCTGCTGCAAATACTTAAAAATTCACGACACAGTTTGTCGCATGCCTTCAGCTGATGTTGCTGGTGTGGCCCTCATTTGTCACATTTGAGTGTATCTTTTGGGCTTAGATCGTACTCTGAATCAAGAAGAAAAACGAAAGAAATTAGGAGAATTATGACTCCGAGAGTAGAGCTACTTGTGAGAGTGATTGAACAAATATGATGACATTAAGCAGGGGTATTATTATGAAATTTACATTTATGATGGAGAGAACTAATTGATTGATGGAAAGAATAAAGATTTTTCACGTTGCGTTTATTAGCTATTGAAGAGAGCATTAGGTAGAGTCACTGAATGATAATGTGGTGCAGTGCAGCTTAGAAAGAAAATAACTACCAAGTAGTAAAAGTCAAAGATGTGTTCAAGGACAGGTACAATATAGAAGTAACTGAGGTAACCATAATGATAGGACAGATAAGGACATTCGTTAATCATCTGAAAGCATATTTTCATAGTTACTACGATGATAAAATGATTTTTATCTAGCGCTCATTATTTTCTGAATTCTCTGCAACTGTTCAATATAATTCATATTTGCAATATGGTTTGAGCCTTGAGGATCAAGCTTGAACTTTTTTATTTTATTTTTATTTTTATTTCTTGTTTAGCCTTGCAATTCTTAGAGTTATGTGGTTATGATTTGTTCACCATAATTTAGTTTTACTTATCAAGGGCTAAGTGAACAAATTCACTTAAGAGCCCATTTTTTTTTTTTTAAACTTCTGGTTTTATAATATTCACTGCTGATCAAAAGTAGTAGTTATCCAAGTATTTGTTTTGATAATAGATCACTTTGGCTAAACATAACATCATATATCTTGACATGGTTGACTTTGCATATTAAATTCCTGCCCACATGTTATGCTCTCCATTCCCATCAGGCTAACTAAATAGCTGTTGTTCTTAATTTCAGATGCATACCGGAAAAAAGTTTTCTTTAAGTATGAAAAACGCATAAGGTTGCAAAGTCCTCCGGAAAAGGTATGCAGTTCATTGGATGTATGTTATCATTGTTACTCGTATGCACTATGCATCAGTGCCACTTCATTCATAAATTCCAGCATGCTATCACAGTCATGTAGATATTATCCTCTAGAAGAAAGCTAGGTTTTTTTTTTTTTTTTTTTTTTTGAATAGAAGAAAGCTAGTTAATAGGAATAAACCCTGAATCACTTTATCTTGCCACGAGTCCTAACTTTTTGGACAAAAAAAATTCATGTTATTAGTTTGTGTATACTATGGCAAAGTGACTTGCAAGGGTTACATGTCAACAGCATGCTAAATTTTCATATCTATAGCAATAATTACACACATAAAAGACCTTTAATATTTTAATTTTTTTAGAACTAGTAAAAGAGTCTGTCACTTTTGTGCTTCTCTCCTTGGTAATTAATGGGAGATATATGCATTTCAACTGCACCTTAGGCCTCAACAACATCATATAGTCTTCCTAGCTGCTGCCTGTTAACTGAGTTTATATCATCCTTAATTGACTAGATAACATCATGAGTGAGCACTTTAAGTGAATGCATCAACGAAATTCTTTATCCTCAAGTTGTACAAGCTTGTAACTTGCATCAAGCATATTTGAATATCTTAGTGGTAGGTAGCTACCGTGTCTTCTTTCTATGATCTTATTATGTTCACTGCCAAAATTTGCACCTGTTTCTCTTTCAGGTGTTTGAGTACTTTGCATCATTCCGAACTCCAAGCGGAGAAGTATTTATGACACCAGCTGACTTGATGCGGGCAGTTGTTCCTGTATTTCCTCCGTCTGAAACAACTCATGTTAGAGGGGGATATCTGAAAGGAGAATTAAACCCTGGCGAATTGCACTGTGCACCTTCAGAATTCTTTATGCTTTTTGATACTAACAATGATGGACTTATATCATTTGCAGAGTGAGTCTGAATTTGTCTCTTTAAGATTTGCACATAACTTGTTTCAAAGAGGTTTTATCATACAATCTAGACCTCTTTGAATCAACTATTCACATGTAACATGTCAAATAGTAATTCTATGAAAGTTAAGCTGCTTAGATAATCTCTTTATAGCTTTTCTATTTCTTGTAACAGGTACATATTTTTTGTTACACTACTCAGCATCCCAGAATCAAGCTTTTCTGTGGCATTTAAAATGTTTGACCTTGACAATAACGGGTAGGTTTCACGTGTATTACCAAACATCAAAGGGTCTGATATCCGTCTCTCTTTCATCTTCTTGCTGGTTTGGTCCTTAAAATAACTATCGACTATTCATCCTACAATGCAATATAGGCTTGATATTATTGACTGGATGGTTTTTATTTTTTATTTTTATTTTTTTTTGCCATAAACAGCTGTATTTTTGAAATTCAGTAGTATTTTATATTTATAGACTTATGACGTCCGCTTTATCTACCTTTCTCTTTGTAATCGTGAGATTTTGATGGTCTTATTCCCTCTGTCTCAACTCAAAAAAGCTTTTTTTTAGAACTAAACGACCTTTAGAAAGATCCAATCTCGCATTTTCTTGGTTTGATCTTGCATGAATTACAGAAGAGCCATCCGAATTGGCTATTTCTGATAGAAAAAGTATTACATTTTTATATAATAGTCACATTATTTTTATTTAATGTTGGATTTCATAAAAACAATAATATGGTAAGTGGAGGAAATGTGTGGAAGATACGTTATGCTCCTCGGAAGAATATGTTTGACTGTATAGCCAGCATTTTTTAAAATTGAAACATGTTCGGTATTTTTGAAAAATCAAATAAGTCAAAGAGAAGTGCAAACTACTGAGAGACACAAGGCTATGAGTATATAGTAATCTTTGTGTATTTGTTAAGAATTTCAATTGGAATGCTCATATCACATAACTGTTAGCTTCTGGCTTTATCACTATGAGAGCAAAAATTCTGAACTAACAGGGCTGAGGTTTTGGACTTTGGTGACGAAGAATTGCTTCTATTAACATATCTTATAAATGAGTGAATATGTTTTGTGTACTCAAGAAACTATTCTCTCTTTTTCAATATTAAAGTCTATATAGGCCATGGAGAATGCTTCAAGCCACAATAAAGATGGGTGAAATGTACCTGTTCTTAATGAATTAATGTTGAGACTACTTGTTTTGTTAACATTTATATTTTCATACTGTTTAATCTCATACATGAAACGTAAGAGGTGCAAACAGGACAATGGTTCACGATTCTGTTCACTAATTTATATTTATACTAGCTGTAAAGATGTTATATAAAATTAAATGATGGCTCCTATATCTAGTGAAATAGTATACTGCTTTTTCGAAAGTTTTATATTGACATATGCTTATCTTGTACTGATTAACTGCTGACATTCATGAACAGAGAGATAGACGTGAATGAATTTAAGAAAGTCATGGGGTTGATGCGAACTCATAATAGACAAGGGGCTCGGCACAGGGATGGACTGAGAATTGGACTAAAAGTTTCAGGTTCTGTAGAGAATGGGGGTGTGCTAGAGTACTTCTTTGGCAAAGATGGCAAGAAGTGCCTTCAACATGGAAAATTCGTCCAATTCCTAAGAGACTTGCATGAAGAAGTATGCAATTTCTCTCCCTCTCTCTCTCTTCCAAAATACTTTCACAGGTTTAAGTTAATTTAACACTTTTAGGTTTTCTTTTCGCCTCTCTAACAAAAATATGTTGGTCCTGTTTTGTTACTTCTAATTCCAAAAGGTTGTATATCATGGGAAGTTATTTGTAGATATCTACTGTGTATCTGCAAGTGGATTCAAGAAATAAGGCCTTCTAATGATCACTATTCTTATTTATTTTATCTTTTTACCTCTAATGGATAGTTTTAAAAATAAAATAAAAAATAAAAAATAGGTAGCTAATTTACACATGCGCACCCATTATTATCCCAGTGGGGGGACTACAACCCTCAAGCATATATTTGGAAGGAAGAGGAAAACCACTTGGGCTAAGCCCTTGGTAATGGTTACTAGATATTGATATGTAAATTGATAGGATATATGCGACCAATTTCTATGGAACATTTTTAAAAAATTCCTGAAAATGTAGGCATAACATGTTTCTGTGAGAAGTTAGGCTAATCCCAGAGGTTGCAATAGCAGTAATATGTAGAAGTTGCATGCACTGTTTTTATGCAAATAATTTCCTTAGAAGAATACCCCTGAAATGACCTGAAATGAGCACACATTTAAGAGATCAACAATGTGATGCTGTAATGACAGTAGGAAGAATCGCAAAATTAGAAATCAGAAGACTTGTGCCCTGAATCTGTGACCATCTTAAGAGGTAAAGTAAATAGAGCTTACATTTTTTGAAAATTATAAATTTACCTAAATTACATCTCGAATAGAAATTCATCTAAGTTAGTGATTTACATGCTACAATTTTCAATTGTATAATTAAAAAAAGCTTTGAACACTAGTGATGATTCAAGTAAGGAAGAAACTTTAACTCGATTTACTAAGTTGTGGTCATGTAAAATCTATTTAATAATTTTGTCTGATATATATTCATGGAAACTTATATACCTTTACATCAATCTGTTAATTCATATAGCTAAATTTATGGTAACAAAATTGATAGATATTGAGGTTGGAGTTCGCTCATTATGACTACAAGTCACGGGGAACAATATCAGCGAAAGACTTCGCATTGTCCATGGTTGCATCTGCTGACATGAAGCATATAAACAAGTTTCTTGACCGGGTTGATGAATTGAACAATGAACCACATGTCAAAGACATACGCATCACTTTTGAAGAGTTCAAGAATTACGCAGAGCTACGTAAAAGTTTAAGGCCCTTGTCTCTGGCCATCTTCAGTTATGGATCTGTGAATGGGCAGTTGACAAAGGAGGATTTCCAGAGGGCTGCATATCAAGTATGTCTACCTGGATTTCCCTTCATTCTTGCATTTAGTATATTATTCTTTCCTTTCAAAAAGTTTTAAGCATTTATATTATACTGATACAGTTGGTTCATTTTAATTCAAGGTTTGTGGCATCTCTCTCACTGATAATGTGGTTGATATGATATTCTATGTATTTGATGCCGACCGTGACGGGAGTTTAAGCTCGGATGAGTTTGTAAGAGTATTACAAAGACGGGAAAAGGACATGTCGCATCCAAGGGAGGCAGGCTTCTCAGGATTGATATCATGCTGGGTAGAGTGTACAAAAAACAGTGGTGGTTCAAAGAGTGTTTTTTAGCTCAATGGCTTGATAGATGATGATGACCCTTTTTCTTGAAACAAGGATTTACATTTATCTCTTACTCTCGCATTGGGATTTTACTCGTTCATCATCAAGGTATTAAATTCTAAAGCGAAATAATTATATAATTTTGATTTTTTTTTTTTTTTTTTTTAATTTTATATGCTGCATTATAGCTGTTGATTATTGTTGTAAAGTTATAATTATGTTAAACCTTTATTTGCAGAATAGTTATTCAAGTTGGGATGCTTGTGATTAGATATTCAGTGGGACTCGATCTGCCCAACTTATTCACTCATCTTCTAAAATGAAAATGTGAAGTCAGTCCATACTGATGTATGTACATATTTTTCCTGTTTCCATATCGAAGTTGTCTTGTAATCTAATTTTTTAACACTATTATTTGTTTATTCATTTATGGTATTTTCTCTTTCATTTATTTTCAATCAATTAAAGATATTTTTTCTCCTTATTTACTTTACCTGGTTTCTAATATATAGAAATAAAAGTAGTGAGAACAGAACTCTTCATGGCACAATAGTTGGAACACAGTCACCATAGTAGGGTGAATTTGATGAGATGCATATTTGAGGAATAGTTTTATAAAAATTTTACTAATATATATATGATGACAAGTTGGTTAGTAGCTTAGCGGTATTAAACTTCTACTTTTCAAAGGGAGGTCAAGGTTTTGAGTCTCGATGGAGGCATGTGTGTGTCAGTACCAATTAATATATATATATATATATATAATGAGCAAGCCAAAGGCTAAAAGTAGTTAAATTTAAGTGATTGTTATAACACTGAAATATTTATATATATATAACTAATTATTTGGCTTATACATATATGGACAAAGGTATATATAATATATGCCCCGGGGGGAGGGGGGCGTGTAATAATTATGCGCCCGGGGGAGGGGGGGCGTGTAATAATTTTAGGGAGGGCATTAGTAAAAAAAAAACTTAGGGCTAATAATAAAAGAGAAATAGGTGAAGGAGGAAAAATGAACTTACTTATTTAATATTTATCTTTGCTCTACCATTGCAAGTGTACATACAATTGATACCAGTTTTTGGATTGTACTGTTGAAAGTGTGTTTGTAACGTCTCAAAACTAATACTTTTTAAACAAAAAAAATTCGGCATAACCTCCCCTAAAAATAGGCCTATCACAACCTGTTTAATTGCATTTTTAACCTGTCACGGCTCAAATTCCGAATTCACGGCAATAGTAGATGATAATACACAATCAAATGACCTCGATAATACCTCAAACTAGTATTACTCTCCCCATGCATCAATAAGGTTTACATGTTATCAAATTCACATCCAAAATATCATCAAATACCTTAATTACATTACATAACAAAGTTTTGCAAAATATACATATACACCTTCACACTTTTAGTGCTTTGCAAAAATAATGGGAGATATACAAAAGACACAAAAGTGAGCTTCTAGTATCGCTCAAGCTTGAGGTGGGTTGTCGTCCACCAGTTCTTTTCCAAGACCTGAAAAAAATGTATAAATAGTAGGGTGAGCTATATGCTCAGTAGGTGACACTTAAGACACAAATCTTGTGTCCTTGTGAATTCAAGTAAAGCATAGGCCAATGGGAGATAGGGATCATACAACGTAGGGGATCAAATACAACATACAATTCAATTCCAATTATAAACAATACAATGCAATGCAATGAAATGCAATGCATGTCAATGACACTCCCCATTTTCATTCTCAAAACCATCACTTTCAAACGTTAATACAGCCCGCCCTTTGGTAACCTCACCGCGACACGAGAGGAGGATTGACTAGTGTCCCTGACCCTTGGTAACCCCGCGGCGTCATTATGGGGCCCAGCTAGCTCAACCACACTAGGGCGACTCCCTAGTCCCCTCTAGGCTATATTAACCTCCAGCCCGTTGGTAACCCCGCAGCGACCGGGTTTATCAAAACCAATTTTCCAAACACATCACCCAAAATTCCCATTTTTCTTTTCAAAACAAATCCTACCATTTCATGCATCCCAATGACATGTCCAAGAATGTACATATAATCTCAATATCATGACAATGTGAAATTTTGGCACAATACAATTAAGCATGGTCTCATACACCCCTTTCAGCAAGTTTACACATAGTAGACATAAACTCAACACATAGACATGCTTTTCACATAATACATTACATGTACATAAACATACATTTCTCTAAACAACATTAAAATAATCATTAACACAATTAATCCCTAAGTAAAGCATGTTAGCACATAAAAGAGGTATAATTCACAAAAAACACTACAAAGCCATCATCTATACATGCTTTTCACATAGACAAGTCATAACCCTAAGACATGAATTTTTTTCTAAACATCACTTACACCTCATTGAAGCAATTAATTCTCAAATTTAGCATTTCTAGCACAACAAAAGAGCATAACTCACAATGGAACAAGAAGAGAGTGGATTAAGATGCCCCTACCTCAAGATTGCACCAAAACCCTAGAAATGGGTCTAAATTTTCGAGTTCCAAAGAAGGCTTAAAACTGGAAATTGCTTGCATCAACGCGTAGAGCTCGTCGCACTCGTCGTTTTGCCTCAAACGGCACCTAAATCCGGCAAGTAATGAAGATGGAATCAAAGCTCGAAGATTGGAACCAAAAAAGAAAAAAAAAAAACAGGAGTTTCTGGATAAGGGAGATGACCTTGCGGGAATGAGAAAAAAAGAAAGCAAAGATGGTCTCATGACCATTTAAATGCTTGTTGGTCCCACCCATTAACTTTTCTTTTCTCTTTTCTTTTTTTGTTTAAATTACACCACACACACACACAAAAAAAAAAAATATACACAGACGTTACAGTGTTTGTATCCCAGGATAATGCTTTGTTTTATGTTATACAGCGTATACAACATATGTAATAACTGTTGATGATGGATTATGCGCAACCCAGGTCTGATCTGACTTCCTGAATAAAGAGAAGAAAAAATGATCCTACAAACTCCAGTGTGTTACTGGTGGAGTAAGCTCCGACGAACAAGTTAGTGTGAGAAGTAATCTTTCTGGAGAAATCAAGAAATTGAATTAGGATTTATTGCGTACCCTAAAACGTCAATTAGCCCCCTCTATTTATAGGGCTTAGGTCAGGATGTTACGTAGAGTTCCCGTAATCTTAATCCTTATCGTCATTTGTAGGCCTAATCCCTATCGTATTTTGTAATCCTTATTCGTAATCTGTAATCCTTATCTTAGCCTGTAGAGCCTATCTCAATCTTATGAGATAGCGCGTTACTTTAACGATCTTCTCCTATCCATGGGTATTTAAATTATACATCCATCAGTTGCCCCCCGTTTCGGAGGATTGCTTGTCAAACCACCGAAACGTTAATTCCTAAATATTACATAATAACAGATAGTTAGAATTGTAGAACCAGTCACCCCGCATTTCTACAATAAATTGGTTTGATTAAGAGATAGTAGAGTTTTGTCCATTAACTTAACTCAGATTGCCACTTCGCGAATATAGTCGGGGGTCGAGCTGCCAGGAATTTTTTTTTTTTTTTAGGACCGTAGTTGCCTTTAAAATATTTGTCGTAGTGCCACATTGGCAGGACCATAGATGTCTTTGAAATATTTGTCGTAGTGCCACATTGGCAGCTCGAATATATGGCAAGCTGCTATGCTGGCAGCCTACCTTTCAGCACATAGGTAACTCATGTGAGGTTGCCAGCGTGGTTGTCCTATTCGAGGATTGACTCCTAATCCTACTCTACCTTGTAAAAGTAAATTCTTATGCAAAATAGCCCGCTGGGAACTGCTTGTCCCTCACGAAGCAGATTTCTATTAGAATTCCACCATAAATATTTTTCTTATCTGTTTACGTTCTTCTGCTATAAATCGAGATGGTTTGAGTAGAATTCATTAGAATTCATTGAAATTACTTCCATCTTCCAGAAAGCTAAGTGGTACTAGTCGTAGTGATGTGGTAAGTTCCATGCCCTTGTTTTCTTCCTTCTTTTATTTAATTCGTTGTTGCTTCTTCCTCCAACTCAGTATACCAAGACCAAAGTTAGAAAATTTTATAGGTCACTGTGAAGCTAAGCTCTTGCATACAATAGTGTGTGTTACTGCTAGCATGTTTCACCCAGAATCCAACACTATGTCGGACGAGGTACACCACCAGTTTGATTTGGCTCCGTCAGAGACACATCCGGTACAGGATATAGTAAGCTCCCTTACCTTAGAGGATCTGGATCAAATCAGGCAAACTTATTCAATTCCAGACAGTGTTGCTCTCAGACTTCCTTCACTTGATGATAGAGCGTCCTCCTTTTACCCAACTGAGATTTGCTTCTATGAGTCTGCTTTCATTGCCGGATTGCGTTTTCCAATCCCTCTTTTTATTAGGGAACTGCTGCGTCACCTTAATTTTGCTATGACTTAACTCTCCCCGAATGCCTGGAGAATAATGATGGGTTGTTTAGTTCTGTGGCGAGCTTATTGTAATACCTCGCTCACTATCCAGGACGTTCTTCATTGCTACATTCCCAAAAGGGGTGACTGGCTGTACTTCTCCCCACAGGATAAAATTTTTATCTCTGGAAATCTTAAGCGCAAACCATGGAAAAACCATTTCTTTTTCGTTTCTGGTGATGGCTGGGAGTTCTTTCCTGATGAAAGTGCTTTCCTGCGAACTTCTATTCCTCGTGCGTGGTGTAATTAGGATTCCACCGGTGAGTTGTCCATAATGATACCCTCTTATGTTTTAAAACTCAAAATAAATTTTGTTTGAGTTATTAACAGAGTTGTTGTCCTTTCAGGCATTAAAGAGATTGCCATTTCATCCGATGATCTTCAGCGAATAAAGAAAGCCTTTAACCACTCAGCGAGAGACTAGTCTTCACTCGTGACACCTCAGACTTTGTTTACCCATGGGATTGGTCCTCAGCCAGTTGGCAAGTCCTCTGTAACTATATCCTGAAAACTTAATAAGAGGCTTCTAGCTCAGTTCAAAGAAGGCTCAAGTGACTTCCCACCTACTTCCCCCGCTAAGAGGAAAAAAGAGAAGCCTATTATTACAACACAAAGAGTCTTACCTATTTCAGTTGTTTCTCCACATGTATCCGACTCACAATTCCCTCATCAGCTTGTGGATGAGACTAGGCCATTCCTTACTGAAGCAGGGGTACTCCCTCAGTTCCCTATTCTTCAGCAGCATCTGTTTTAGGCAATGCTCAACTTGCTTTTAAGAAGATAAGCGAGTCTTTGTCGAAGGAGGATATGATGTATCTAAATTCTCGCCCTCCAACTGAGATTGTAGATTGGCTCATGCATGATCTCGCACGGGTTAACACTCGCACCATCCTCTGTTTTTATTTAGCTTTTCTTTTCCTCTTCATTGTAATTTTTTGTTCCCACGTGCGTACAGGTGAAT